ACACCTGGATACGTCTATTTGTGAACCCTTCCATTGTAGATTTGGCTTTATGTTTTGGATAATTGTCCTGTTGGAAGATAAATCTCCGTCCCAGTCGGTCTTTTGCAGACTCCAACAGGTTTTCTTCCAGAATGGTCCTGTATTTGGCTCCATCCATCTTCCCATCAATTTTAGCCATCTTCCCTGTCCCTGCTGAAGAAAAGCAGGCCCGAACCATGATGCTGCCACCACCATGTTTGACAGTGGGGATGGTGTGTTCAGGGTTTTGCATTGTGGCCAAAAAGTTCGATTTTGGTTTCATCTGACCAGAGCACCTTCTTCCACATGTTTGGTGTGTCTCCCAGGTGGCATGTGGCAAACTTTAACCAAGACTTTTTATGGATATCTTTGAGAAATGGCTTTCTTCTTGCCACTCTTCCATAAAGGCCAGATTTGTGCAGTGCACGACTGATTGTTGTCCTATGGACAGACTCTCCCAGAGTGATCATGGGCCTCTTGGCTGCATCTCTGATCAGTCTTCTCCTTGTTTGAGATGAAAGTTTGGAGGGACAGCCGGGTCTTGGTAGATGTGCAGTGGTCTGATACTCCTTCCATTTCAATATAATTGCTTGCACAGTGCTCTTTGAGATGTTTAAAGCTTGGGAAATCTTTTTGTATCCAAATCCGGCTTTAAACTTCTCTACAACAGTATCTCGGACCTGCCTGGTGTGTTCCTTTGTCTTCATGGTTCTCTCTGCGCTTTAAACAGAACCCTGAGACTACATGTATCAAAGAGCAGGTGCATTTATACGGAGACTTGATTACACACAGGTGCATTCTATTTATCATCATCAGTCATTTAGGACAACATTGGATCATTCAAAGATCCTCACTGAACTTCTGGAGTGAGTTTGCTGCACTGAAAGTAAAGGGGCCGAATAATATTGCACGCCCCACTTTTCAGTTTTTTATTTTTTTTTTTTTAAGTTTAAATTATCCAATAAATTTCGTTCCACTTCACGATTGTGTCACACTTGTTGTTGATTCATGACAAAAAATTTAAATTGTATATCTTTATGTTTAAAGCCTGAAATGTGGCGAAATGTTGAAAGGTTCAAGGGGGCCGAATGGAGGGACTATGTCTCTCAGCTGACCTGGGAACGCTTTGGGGTCCTCCCTGATGAGCTGGACCCAGCAACGGATGAAGCAGAGGAAGTTTGCTGTGACGTATGTATTTTACCCGAGTGAGTGAGGCATTTAGCCGAGCTTTAGCATTTAGCCTAGCTTTAGCCATCTCCTTTGCCACTAATGGAGCCTGTGGGAGTTGAGCCATAACATCTTTGCCAGCAATAAAATTTGCCAAACATTCCTCTTGCTTCAGCTTCAATTCCTTGATATTTGAGAGCCGAACCAGGATTAATTACTTTATTATTGCATTCGCCGCCATTGCCAAACTACAACCAGCAAATTCTCCCGCTCGCTGAATGCAGTACAGTATATAAACACCACTACCAACAGCCCTTTTCCAGCTAGGAAGTAACAATTTAAACATACCCAAATTTTTACGACTTAGCAAATAGAGGAAAAATTGAGAAAATACTGGGTTTACAGATCTTTAGCAAAATGAAAAAAAGTTGCTCAAAATGTTGAGCAACTCCTGACCTCACTTTTGCTGTGTCTTCAATACTTGTGAGAATGAACCATGTCTGTTCTTTATTTGCTCTTGTCATTAAGTGTGTTATGGACGTAAATACTGTCACAAACTGCAGACATGGCACAGGCCTAAATGACACCGAGTCAAAACATGTGCTGCTGGAGGGAGGAATGAGAAGGTATCCGTCCATGGCCAGGAGTTGCTCAGGGTCTCTGAGGCTGGGAAAGTTACTCAAATTAACAACAATAATACAACATCTGCAAGAATTGACGATCACAAACATTGTGAGCAATTGCAGCAACTTCAGTGCAGTTTCAATTCAATTAAATTCAATCTTGTATAGCCCTAAATCGCAACAGTAGTTCTCTCATAAATGTTGTAGAATGTAGAGTGTCCTGGATAATCACCACAGTCCTTTATTAATAGACCACTAACAGTCTAACAGACCTAACAGACTTCCTGCATCAGCATGGAAAAAACTCTAAAACAAAGTAAGAGACAAGTGAGAAACCTCAGGTATAACCTGACTAGCCAGCAATTAACTGCTCCCATAGACACAAAAAAAGTAACAAGTTATTAAGACCAAACTGTACATACGCTGAGTAATCACACTTCCAAAACTAAAAGCCATCATATTGTCTGCTCTGGGAGTTCTCGTGTTAAACGTTTCACATAAAGAGCTAAACAGGTTAGAGCTGTAGTCAGCCCCTGAAAACTAATACTTGGCGTGGCCCAAGCCCGACCAAATTCAGCCCGACCCAAACTTGACAACTAATGTTTTTATCAGCCTAAACCAACTGCAAACCGACTAGACGGCCTCAAACAGACTGCATGGCTCCAACGCACCAATGGATCTTGGCCGCTGCCTCACAGCGTTGCTGACACAGAAGGATCTTGGGGGAGGAGCTACTAATGTTGTGGCCCCTGTCTCCCAGTTGAGAGGAGTACATGTATGCTGTTTGACCGTCTCACTCTTCACTTTGTTAGCGTTAATCCAACTTCTGCACTAGCATAGGGGGGATATAACTAAATAAAAAACAAGCGTTTGTCACAGATTGAGGTGATGGTGATGTGATTTTGTGCGAAGAGCAACAGTCTTATTACAAGCATGTCAACATGACTCTGATTTTACCGCGTCAGGCCGAGCCCGACCTGAGCCAGAGCCAGATCTACTGAACGTATACTACTGTAACTCCACTATTGGTTAATGTTATTCATGATTCAGTTTATTAAGGGATGTTGTGACTCAGTGCTGGATGCACTTCTTTCTGCTGTGCAATAAAGTCAAACTTTAAAGTACAAGTACAGACAAAAGCTCTCTATGCTATACTCTGGGCATTTATAAGATACAAGCAGACAGTTTTTAAAACAGTACTAATGCCCTCAAAATGTTCAACTGTTTCACTTGATGCCATGAAGATCTATTTAAATTATGTTTAGTTTAACCTTTAAAGGATATAAAGTGTCATTGAAATGTGTGTTTTATAAATGTGCAGAACAATATTGGGTTAGCAGACTTTGTACAGGCACTATGTTTGAAGAGGAGCCCTGTCAAGAATCATTTTTTAAGTCATACTTATTCAATTGACATTTCTTTGTGTAATTCTTTTAGGTATTCATTTATTGTCTTGTATTGAACCAGGAAAGTCCCACTGAGATCTCAGACTCTCCTTTAGAGAGAACTGGCAGTAGCTATAGAGGCAGGAATGAGTTTGGGGAGGATGTTACAGTCTATTGTACATGTGTTTAGTTGTAGGGCAAATCGGTGCACCCGGAGGAAACCTACGCAGACACGAGGAGAAAAACTCACCACACTAACGTCTGGAGGTGGCATCGAACCGAGTACCTTCTTGCTGTGAAGCACAAGGTCAAACCACAGCGCCACCATGCTGCCACATTATATTATCTTCTGTTTCCATGCATATCCGTAATGGGACATTTTTAAGGCAAACACAGCCAGTAGGCAGATGTTTGAATTGCCTTCAAAACAGACCATATTTTTTCTGGCTTGTTATGACAGAATTACAGAAAAGAAGAGATAAACAGGCCTCGCAGCTTTGATACGATCATTACATTTCTACTGACCAGAACACAGGAATCTACACAGACATTAAAACTAGGTCAAACACAACAACACTCCACAACTTTTTGAAACATGTTTTTACTAGCTGTGCATTCCATTAGTGATAATAAAGCTCTGCCCAAATATTTGCTCTTGCTCCTAAAAATCAATCCTCTCAAAAATGTTAGCTTTAGAAATCACTTTCAACAACATAAAAGAGTCTGATTTAAAGAAAATGGAAACTTGGCAAATTCACCATACTATTATCCTGAGTTACTGAACTACAGCTGCTGCGAGTTTCTACTAGCTTGAGTATGAAGGCCGGTTTTGAATGTTTGCCAGTCTGCTCTGACAGACATTCTGGGCACATAAAAAGAACCAATCTTGTTCTTGTAAGTGACGTAAAGAGAGGTCTGTTCTGATGACATGCTCCAGATTAGCTCCAAGTCTGTGCATATGGTATAGACATATCATTGAAATCTATATGTGATTGTGAGACTGATGGAACAGATTGGCAGCCTTTTTTTTTGCCAGTCAAACTCCTCATTATTTTCTCTATGCACTTGTAGCAACTTTTTGTAGCAAGTTTATGCGGATGACATTTGGCACTTCCTGTTTATTTTGAAAGTTTCCATAGCCACATTTAAAAGTTTTATTGCAGCTAAATCTTCCATATTATTACTGCAGCAGGTTAAATGAGCACCTTTTTAGCACCTTGTAGTTAAATTCAAGGATACCCATTTGTATCGCTTACAGGCTCAATTCTCCAGAGGTTGAGGCAAAGGAAAAACTATTATTCACTGCAGAAAAAAAAAAAAAACACTTTCCCAAGAGACTGTGAAGCCTACTCAGTGTTTTCTAAAGCAGGTAAGACACAGTATATGCGCGCAACAGATAACAGCCAGAGGGACAGGATGCAACATCCCCCAAAATAAGGGGCTGCAGGGTGATGAACAAAACAGATGTCATCATGGCTTCTTTCTTCTATGTAACATCTCATTGACTAAAATGATTTGCATGCCTGGTTGTAAGAAAAAGTAACTTCTTTATTTAAAAAAAGATGCAGTAAATGTGAGGTAAGCCCATGATTAATAGTAATTTTAACGTATTCCTTCATCAAAAAGAGAACTTAAAATAATTACTGCTTAATAGCTAAGCAAAGCAAATTAATAACTTTGGTTGAAGATATCATACATACAAATCTATATATATATGTTCATGTGGCTCTATCATAATTCAATATTATATACTAAAGCAACATACAAAAGTAGAAGAACTGAGAAATTTCCATAAAAATGTACAAACCTTCAGTGACTTATAGATCCACACGTTTAGGTCCACATGTAGCTAGAACAACACATCCGGACAGCTTAGATCCGGAATAGGCCTGATAGGTCCTTGTTGTATTCCTTTCTGGGTGAAGAGAAAGAGGATTAAAAAAAGTTTGCCGTAAGATTGTTAAAGTTTTCCTCCCCTCCCCTTCTTTTGCTCAAATGCCTCAGCCCACTCTCTCTCTCTTTTTACACACACTTTTCCGTCCGTCTCGGGGGTGTCCTATTACTACCTCAGTCTCTCCCCTCTCCTCCAGAGACCCTGCTGAACTTTTCATTTGGACGTCCCTCGGCGAAGCAGCAATTACATCATGCTCCCTTGAGGCATCCCATCTCCCCGCTGTGCTTTCCCCGATTCATATTCTCTTTCACATCTGTCCATGTTTCAGTTTTATCTAGACTATTATCACAGAGTAAGAGCGACTACTACACGCAAGTAAAAGCAGCCGTCTCATTCCATATGGAGACTGCTGAAAACAATATCCCTCATCTACTCAAATTCAACTTGATAGAACAAGAAACATGGACACCTGTGCCCTCCAAATGAGGCGTGAAATTCAGGCAGTTTGGCATAACTGGATCGAATCGTTTCCACTGCTTTTTCGCTGACATGTGACCACGTAAAGCGGATCCTATTGACAGCAGATGCATTTAAGAGCACAGGGAGAATGTATGTATGGATTCACTTGCATTTCAGTTACCCATTCATTCTCTTTGATTAATGCAGACCACCAAGATGAAAAGTCAGTCCAGTTCTGAAATACAGACTAGATTATGTAACGTACTCTGTATTCTTACGCTTTGCAAAATTTATGGACGTCATTGATTGTTTCCATCCTCATTGTTCTTATTGATTTTGAAATAATTTTTGTGTTTTATCACATTCAACCTGGAATATGGCCCAATCTACGACCACATAGAAATAGTTCACATAAATCCTACTGTTATGGTCGATAAATACATTAATCTGGTGCTAAATAAATGTCTATTTAAGTGTTTGATTTATGGGGCCTTCCTTGCTGCTTCGGCTGAACGTTTACAGTATTCCCCCACTATCAGGGTTGATTATATCCCAGGATTTTCCCCTCATTCCCAATCTTCTTCACACCATCAAATGTTCCAACGCTGTAGCTGTCAGCACATGCCTGACCGGGATCTGACCTGTTTTACTTTACAGTCTGGAAGAAATTAGGTTGTTTGATGCTAGCCTGCGTTACACGTGGAGACGGTGTGTTTGTATACGCATGTTCTTGCTGAAACATGCAAAAATGTCTGCCCACACAATGTACACGATACTTCAAGAGGGTTTAAGATTTCAGCAAGGTTTTTTTTTAGTTAAGTCAACAATAAATCATTGGCTTTGTAAAGCTTGGATTGTATGTTATAGGTTTGCTATCATATTAAGAATGTCTATTATCAGTATTACAGTTGCAACTCAAAAAATGTATTATTGGGCATGTATTTCTGTAATTCAACTTATGTGAAAATAATATATGAGACTCGTTACATTCAGTTTTATTGGGCATTTTTCACAAGCTGTGATACATAATTTTCAACATTATAACAAATAAAAGCTTTATATAAACCAAGCAACTACTATAAAACGGTGGATCTAAAGCCCGTCCGTCCGATGCAGGAGGCTCTGTTAGACCCTCTAACAAAAAGGACTGTGGTGATGATGCGGGACACTCAACATTCTACAACATTTATGGACATTTATCAACATTCATGGACATTGGTCAACTCCCTACGGAACAATACCTATACAGCATGTTCTTTATTTTTTGTGTTTGAACGGTTTTATTCTCTGATCTGTGTTGGTGATTTCAACGGTTTTGTGAAGTCCTCTTAGATAACTACTTTTGTGATTTAGGGCTACATAAATCCCAACAGTAGTTATATACTCAATAACTACTATTGTAATCATTTGTATTTAATTTAATTACAATATACACATTTTCTCTTTTATTATGATATTATTGTTTTGTGATTCTTCTATCATGTATTTTGTATCATACTGATAATGACAATGGCTGAGTGATTCACAACCATTATATGCAAATATATGTATATGTTTGATCTGCGTGATCTTCCCCTCCAACCACCAGTCGAATAGTAAGTAAGTAAGTAAGTAAGCTTTATTTATATACCGCCTTTCACAGACCAGAGTCACAAAGCGGTTTACAATTATATATTATATATATATAATTGTATATATATATAATATATAATTATATATATATATATTTTTTTTTTTTGGGCACTTGTCCTCTCACTCCACACAGAGATGGGAGCGGGGTCGCCGAACAGGAGGCGCATGCCAGACCTATTGTACATATTTTTAGTGGTAGGGGAAACCGGAGTACCCGGAGGAAACCTACGCAGACACAGGGAGAACACGCAAACTCCACTCAGAAAGGCCCTGGTCCGGCCGGGATTCGAACCCAGAACCTTCTTGCTGAGAGGCGAGAGTGCTATCCACTCAGCCACAGTGCCGCCCCTAGCTAGAATAGCTAAAATGTGTTTAATTTTAAACAGTTCTGAATACTGCTGGAAAGTTGTTATTTGCATTTTTGCAGGTATACTTGAGTAGTCACATGCTGTTGCTACACAAAAGAAAAATGCTTCATATAAATGTCATGATTCATACACTCCATACACGGTGGTGATAAACTACTGCTGTAGCCACAGCTGCCCTCGGGCACACTGGCAGAAGCAAAGCAACCAGTATGTGCCCCGGCGACCACCAGCAACCCTTCACGCACACACCAGACTCAATTTAAGCAATGTGGGTGAAGTGTCTTGCCTATGGACACAACAACAGTTTGGCACTTTATTGCTGTGGCACCTGGTGTTCTCAGAGGTCTCCCTGCTTAGACTCAGAGGTCTGACGGGATCTGGCTTTCACATGCAGGTATGGCCACCAACAGACATAAAACCAAGCTCTCTGCTCACATCCTTGCTGAAACACTTACCTCTATGTTTCTCATAATCGACTTGTAGTTATTGCGCGTGATCCACTTTATCATCATCAATACAGAGGCCATTGATTAAGAAGCCAGGATAAATCTTTCTGCCAAAGCTTTATGCATTATTGTGCATGCTTCAAACTTGTCAATATGGCAGAGTGGCACATTTAATAATCACTAGACCTTTTCCTTCAAAGATGTGTTTGTGGCTAGAAAGAAATAGAAAGTGAATATGGATTGACAAGAACGATGCAATTATTTTCCGTCTTTCTGTATTATACATGAAAGGATGTCATTTTGGTGGCCTCCGGAGAGCTCCATATGGGTAACAGATTTGTCTTGTCTTCCGATTCTTCACAGCGTCTCTATCTGAACAAGGGAAATCAGGCCATGGAGCAGCATGCAACTCCAGCTTCACAGAAGACTGATGTTAATGCTCCAGTTCACATGCATATGAGCTATTCACATTCCCCTCCCGCCTGATGAGACTAAATTGTGATGACAACCCTGAGAGACAGAATAATAAACCCTTCATTGTGGAAACAAAACAAAATAATAATGCAGAATAATAGATTTCAGTGAGGGATTGACAGCCAGGATATCAGCACTATCTTCTATGAGCTTTCAGGGTTGAAGGGTTGAGATGAAATTGGCCCCTTCTCAAATGTTTATCAGTGTGGTTGTCTTCCGAGTCCATGCCGTGAAGTTCAGAGCAGGCCCAATGAGATCTAGTTTGGCAACCTTTCATAATATATAGACAATAGACGTAATAATTTGTTAAAAAAATATAAAACTATACCAATAAGATTAGTTTCAATCAATCAATCAATCAACGTTTATTTATAGAGCGCCTTTCCTACACAAGGCAACGCAAAGCGCCTCACAACCCATATAACATCATGCATAAATCATCAAACATTAGAATTTAAGTAAACATAAAAAGACAGATTAAGAGCACAAGATATATAAAATCACACAAGTAGTTAAAAACCGTAAAAAATTAAAATCACACAAGGGATTACAATCATAAATAATCATAAATAATCATAGCGCATTAAAAAGATTAAAGATAAAAACAAATGTAAAATCATTCACTTGTATGCACAGCTAAAAAGAACTGTTTTCAGTTCAGTTTTAAAAACTGCTAGAGTAGACGCCTGTCTCACACTCTCGGGAAGACGGTTCCAGACTCTAGCTGCATGAATCTGAAACGCAGCCTCCCCATGTCTAGTTCCGACTCTTGGCACTAACAGAAGTCCAGTCCCTGTGCTCCTCAGAGCCCGAGTTGGTTCATATGGCACCAACATGTCGCGGATGTACCCTGGTGCGAGGCCATGGAGAGACTTGTACACAAGTAAAGCTACTTTAAAATCTATTCTCTGAGCCACAGGAAGCCAGTGCAGAGACCTGAGGACCGGACTAATGTGGTCGTACTTCCTGGTTCTAGTCAGGACTCGAGCTGCAGCATTTTGGATGTACTGCAGCTGTTTTACCGCTTGTTTAGAGAGACCTGTGAACAAGCCATTGCAGTAGTCCAATCGACTGGAGACAAATGCGTGGATAAGAATCTCCAAGTCTGCTTTAGACACAATGTTTTTAATTTTAGCAATGTTTCTTAGGTGGAAGTAAGCTGATGATGTCACAGATGATATGTGGCTATTGAAATTCAAGTCTGAGTCCATTATTACTCCTAGATTTCTGACCTGAGTTGAGGGTTTCAGGGAGAGAGACTGGAGGTGGCAGATAACGCTCTCTCTTTGTTTCTGAGGTCCGAAAACAATAATTTCAGTTTTTTCTGTGTTTAGCTGGAGAAAGTTATTTTGCATCCAATCACTGATCTGTTGGATACAGTGAAGGAGCGAGTCCACTGGTCCATGTTCTCCTGCTGTCAGGGACACATAGACCTGAGTATCGTCAGCGTAATTGTGATAGGACACGTTATTACTGTGTATTAACCTACCCAGAGGCAGCATGTAAATATTAAACAGGAGAGGCCCCAGGATTGAGCCCTGTGGCACTCCGCAGGTCAGGGCCAGATGGTCTGAGACACAGTTTCCGATCTCCACAAAATACTTTCTGTCCTGTAGGTAGGATATAAACCAGCTTAGGGCTGTTCCAGAAACACCAACCCAGTCCTCAAGTCTCTGAATGAGGATACCATGATCAACAGTGTCGAAAGCAGCACTCAAATCTAACAGGATAAGAACTGAGACTTTTCCTGCGTCAGTGTTAAGTCTGATGTCATTTGTTACCTTCACTAGAGCGGTCTCTGTGCTGTGGTGGGGTCTAAAACCAGACTGGAACATATC